GAGAGAGAGAGAGAGAGAGAGAGAGAGAGAAAAGGGGTAGAAGGGGGGAGGGACCAACATTGAGTATAACAGTGCGTCCCTCTTGACTCATTAGAGCATTGGAAGATAGGACTTACGCTTTAAAAAAATTGGTTTTGAACAGCAACTGTGAGTGAACGCATATCTCCTCAATAATTATTTACATAAATACCATCTCACATCATCCCTCACCATCACCATCATATCTAAAATCATTATTGCTCTCAGACTCTTGACATACATCAATATTCCTTGAATTTATATCTGTAACAGTTACATATTACAATAATTATGTACGCAATATAATTTTGGACACTATACTATCGAATACCTTTTTCTACTAATCAGACGGCGTCAATCTCGTAGAAATGGGCAAGGGACCAAAAAAAAAGAGTATAACAGTGAGTTACTTTTCAACGACGTCAACTACAAGACCATGATAGTGTTATGAGACTTGCCTCTATTTACCTTTGTAGATATTCCCAACAAGGTCATATTTTAATTGCTAATAAGATCTATGATTTGATACATTAGCTGATGTTAATATTATAATGTATCCTCGTGCAGGCGTTTACCTTCTACCGATCTTTTGCCAGAAAGCTTTGAAACATTATTTATCGAAGAAAAGTGGAATGTGTCTTAGTGTACCATAAGTTAAAGCTTAAGATTCCTTTGGCGTCATTTTAAACGAATGTTTTTGTCATTCAAAGTATTGCTTTAGTTTGGTGGTTTCTCTTACGTTTGCTGATGTTGGAAGGCTATTGTAGACCCTTCTTTTCTGTGCCTCTGTCTTGCCTTTTCTCTATGCTATACAGTTTTCGTGTGGATATGCTTCTCTCTTACCGAAAGCAAACTAAAACTAAACTCTCTTTTGATTGTCTCGTTCCCCTGTGTTTTCAGTTGTGCGTAGGTAATATGTTTATTTTTAAAGTTATCAGGAAAATGGGAGGAGTTAGTGAAACACATTATGGCGCCTAAGAAGTTCTAATGAACGAAGCAGCTGTCTTCCTTGTTAGCTCAATTCTGGGAGCAATTTTTTGACATAGCTAGCTCTTGGTAGAGCGCTTGTTTGCCCAAGGGAGGTAGAGAAACTATACCTGCGAAAGCCAAGGACACTTTCTGTTTTATAGCTCGGAATTGTTTAACGATGGGTTGTGGCGTGATGGGTTGGTTTTTTGGGGGTTAAATTCCTATAGGTGTATGTATGTGAGTGTGTATGTGTGTATGTGTGTGTGTGTGTGTGTGTGTGTGTGTGTGT